TGGAACTCTACTCTGAACAAAGTTTGGGAAACACTGTTCAACAGAGTTCTTTATAGAGACTTCAAATAAAATCTCCACAGGATAAAAGCTACAAATTTGATTACAAGAAAATGCTTTTAGGACTAAGGTGTTGAACATCTATCTGTTAGAGAAAAGCTGACAGTTTCTCTTTTCTATGTTACTTATTCAAAATTTAATTGATCAAAATAATATTATAGGATTTAATTTTATTTTCCAATCTATTCTCTTCTATTTTTAACTATTACTAATAGTTAATACTTTATACTAATATATAATATATATATATATATATATATATATACTAGTCATAGTAGCCAAAACTATTGAATCAAATATAGCAGATACTATTGGAACATACTGCACTTTGTCGCGCCTGACCCTTTTCTGCAATATAATGTCCTTTCAAACATAATGGTCCAAATTTGAAGTTTTTCAAATTCAACCGCAGCGTAGATATTTGTAAAGACCTTATGATACAAGGAAATTCTTTTTAAGAATCTCTGCTCAAGCTCAAAGACTGTCTCCCTCAACTAGCATTATTACAGTTGAATTTACATAACGTACAATCTTCACTAAGACTTTATTACTCCAGGTAGTCCTCAACTTACAACAATTAAGCCAAAACTTTTTGTTGCTAAACAAGATTAAGTTTTACCCCATTTTATACAACCCTTCTTGCCACAGTTGTTAAGTGAATCACTGCAGTTAATACACAGTTAAATGAAGCTGACTTCCCTATTGACTTTGGTGGTCAGAAGGTTGCAAAAGGTGATCAAAAGGACACCGGACACTGACACCGTCATAAAAACTTGCCAAACATCTGAATTTTGATCGCATGACCATAGGAATGCTACAACAGATGTAAGTATGAAAACCAGTCATAAGTCACTTTTTTCGGTGTTCTTGTAACTTTGAACAGTCACTAAATGAATGCTTATAAGTTGAGGGCTACCTGCAGTTATAAGGCAATATAGCACTTCTGAAGCAAAGGGTTGAAGCTAGTTTAAAAGTATAGCAAGGCAGACTGACATACACCAGGGATGCTCCTCTATTGATGATGAAAGTCTTTCATTCCTGGGACCAGAAACAATCGCTCTGCCTATTAGCTTACTTTGCCTATTCTGAAATCCTCAGAACAAATAAGTTATTACTTAAATGAAATACATGGGACTTTAGTCTGGCTCCAACCCAATACAAAAATAATCTGACTTTACAAAAAATATAATTTTATTTGAAACTTTTAGTGAACATATACATACAAACATACACACACACAAACACACGCATACCAGCAATACATTAAAAGTGAAATTGGTTCTCTAGTGATCTTGATTTGTTTTACAGAATTCTAACAGTAATTATTATACCCAGTTTTCAAAATTCAGAATTTAAAATATGACTCTATCAGATAACAAGAAATATCTTGTTCAACAAACTTATTTTCCTACACCACTTGAAAAGTATTTGTAAAAAAATAATTTACCCCTTTCAGAATCAGCATTACAAAACTGAATTTTCAGATTTTCATATGGTTTATTTACAAATAATTATACTAAACAAAGTATTACAAATTTTAAAATTAAGGTTGCAACCCTATATCCATTAATTAATAGGAGGTAATAAAAAGAAGTGTTGGATATATTCACTGTCTTCAGTTATTTGTAAAAATAATAAAGGCAGGATATAAACAAATACATTAAATAAATAACCTGCCATAATTCATTCTCCAGAAAGGCAATAAAATCTACTCAATTTAGTTTACGGTTAACTAGATTTATACAGAATTTTAAATTGTGATGCATAAATTCTGCAATCTATCCTGTTCACTAGCTATAGCACTCTTCCATATTAAAGAAAATATTTCTAAACAGAGTAGTAATCATGCAAAAATTAAAATAGGAAAATTAACTAAATTATTTAATTGCCTCATATTTTCCTATTTAATGTCAAATTAAATAAAAGAAACTTTATCTGACTATATATTTTAAAAGAACCAGAAGAATATAAATAAGCAATATAAAAGCCACCATCCGCATCATGCCTATTATCAAGTGTCAAGGTTATGTTTTGAAAGTAATACAAGAGTAGTAGCCATTTAATTATTATAAGTATTTTAAAAAATAGTATTAAGATTGCAATCTTACAGTTCCCAAAATTGTCTGATTTCTCCTGTAAGTTATTAGAGAAACAGGTTCAATCTCAAATATGAAAATCCAACTATAAAAGTTAGATTCCTCCAAATTGGAGCACTCCAACATAAATTTTAGGATTGCCTTGTATGGATGCAACATTACAAATTTACTAGAAAATAAACTTGATTACAAATAAACACTTCTTCAAAGACAAATACAGAATTGTGTAGTTAACATTCAGTAAAAATCATGCACTCTTACAGGGAGAGGAAAGAGACCAGTGAATTCATGAAGACTTACTTTCAGAATAAAAATATATTAGGCTAGCCTATTAATAACTTGTCACAATTCCATTTTGTATAAATTTGTAATAATTCAAATTCCTGATATATATATATGTACATACATATATATATACATATATATACATATATATATATATACATACATACACATATGTACATACCATAGACACAAACATTTTATTTGAACATCTCCCATATAAAAATGATTTCTTCTGTATTTCATCACTCTACAATTAGGAGCACTTTTAAACAAGTGCAGGTAGCTACAATATAGGATCAATGTCTATCTAAGTTCTGCATTTAATCTATATTCTGAATTAGGAAAGTAACTTTTACCTCTGAAGACTATCTCAATAGTTATGTATCATACATTTCAAAGATAAAGAACGTTTATTATATTTGCATAAAGTGACAGGGCTAAAATTTAATAAAATCTCTTATCATTGGACTCCAGATGGTTTACATTAATAAAATAATTGAATAAAGTAAGATATAGGCAACAAATCTTTTAATATGCAAGTTATTCATTATACATATAATAATAACCAACTTGAAAGCAACCTCTTGCAAAATTGGTTAGGAAATCTAAAAGAAACTGAGTTATTACTTACATTTCATTGTAACATGCCTTGTTTTACATACTTCAAAACAATATTAAAGCATTTTTGTCTGATAAAATAGAACAGTCTACTCCAAAGGAAGATAGTCAAGGTTTTATACTATAAATTCAATTCTATATTTTATTTTAGTTAGTACACTAAGCTCAACTGATTTACTTCTAATACATGCAGACAAGATTGGGAAGTTAGACTCTTATTCCAAATACTAAGAAGAAAAATGATTTTAAAAGTTTGATACCGTATATTGCTAAGTAAGCACACATAAAACTATTATAGTACACTGATTCTACATTCTAGCAGCGAATGCTTTTTTCTTGTTGCATTTCTGCAAAACAAATATTTTTAAGAATTTATAAATTTAGTTCAAACCCAAGTAAGCCTAAATTGAACAAACTCATAATTTTATTAAAAATCTAATATATACTATATTTAGAACTGCAAGATGAACCAATCTCTAAACTAGTGGGACTGATCTTGAGAATTACAATACCTGTAATTTTCAATAGTGCCTGCCACTGACATAGCACTTTAGAAGTATAATTAAGTCAACTTTAGACTTAAAATATTGAAATGCACAGAATTTTATACCTTAAGACATATACTGCACTAAAACCTACATTTTCCAACAATATGGTTCAGAAGAACACCACTTCCTAGACTTCTTTGTAACCAGAAATACAATCTAATGTACCCATCTTAAAATTTTATTTTCAAGCAAATGTAATATAGGATGTCATAAAATGATTGTTGTCCTACAGTAACTTATTTTAGCACATTATTCAGAATGAAAACAACTATACACATACAACTGTTTGGCACTGAGATTGAATCTTTTTTACATGGCCTAATCAATTCTCTTTATTGCTCTCCCATAGTTCTAATCAGTTATTATGAAGTTACACAGGAAGAGGTTCAATTTTTGTTCTAATCCAAGAATTGATTAATTGATTTGGAAATCAAGACATATCCAAGTCCTATGTGTAAGGATTATTCATTTCAACAGGATTTGCTCCTTGATATCCTTAATGAGTTCAATTTCTGCTTATGTGGAATCCAGGGATAGAATTTACATAAAACAATATGTGTAGTTAAACAGTATATACTACAGTATATGTAATTAGGCAAAACCATGGAGTATTGATTCATAGTTTACAGAAGATAAAAGTATATTTTGTTTTCTGGTAAGTTAATGGAAGTATAATAAATAACCTAGTCTCCATGGAGAAATAATCTGATTTGACTGGAATGTCTAGTCTTATTACAGAATTCTGTAGAAATCAATGCTTATCTCTGAGTAGGTGTAGTTCAAGATAAAATGTATTTTAGAAATCAATTGAATGCATTTATTCTAGTGAAATTCTCTTTTTAGCTGATATTGATACTAAATCTCTTATTTTTAGTTCTTTTTATATTAAAATTAAGACCTTCCCGTGACAAGACTCTACAATATGTATATACTGCAATGACCCTAGAATAAAAATAGAAGACTTGTCGTGATTATACCAGTACCTGGAGGTTTACAGACTAGTAGTCCCTACATTCGTCTCTTCTTATAACAGGTGCTAATTCAAACCTGCTGATTTTTCTGCCTACCTGCCCGAGAGGTTGCGGAAAGAGCAGAACTTCCTCCTCCTCCACCTCAGGCCAGGTAAGAGCAACGCCGAGTTACCAGAACCAATCCATTACCCAGGTGGGGAAAGGCCTCAGCCTCACCTTCACAACTTGGAACAGAACTTCCCTGCAAACCTAACCGGGAATAAAAGGGTACAAGAAACCGGTGTCTGCTTTTCCCTCCGCTAGGTCGGCCTCCTCGTTTGCCTAACCACCGAAACGGCCCAGGCTCCCTCTTCAAGATGGCAGCGGCCCCTCTCTCCCAATGCCATTGAGCCGGCGGCCCACTGCTAGAGGCCCCTACCACTTACCGTATATCGGGGCGGTGGCCACCTCTGGTTACTGTCCGGGCTGCCGCAGTTGTCCAGTGCTGACCAAGGCCTCCCTCCTGTCTCGGGATTCAGGAGGGGAGTGAGTGGCGGCACTGGCGGGTGGGTTCAGTTCATTACCCTCCTCAGCCAGCGGCCCAACCCAGCAGCCTCTCTGCAGTCTTTCCCACCCGGCTTGGATCACTTCGGCCGACACGCTCGGGCCCCGTGCAAAAAGGGAGCAGGGCCTTGGCCCCGAAGCGGAGCCAATCGTGCACCTCCCTCTCCTGGAGGAGGGCAGCCCGGCCCGGCGGGCGGATCCGCGGCGTTTCCTGGCCGGGCAGATTTTCTATCGCTCACAAAATGGCGCGCGTTCCAAACCTGCGCAAGCGATCGGCAGCGGGGTACGGGCAGAGCTCGGTGGTAGTGAATTCAGCTGCTGCTTGAGCCCAGGCCAGGGAGAGCGGAGTCAGAGCAGCACGGGCGAGAGGGGAGCGCGGCGCAGCGCCGAACAGAGCCCCCGGGAACTCACTCGCGCCCCCTCCCTGCCTGCTTGCTGCCAGCCAGCCAGCCGCCTGCTCTCCTCCCCCTTCTGAGCGCCGCCGCCGAGCCGGCTTCTCAGGAACTGCGCTTCGGATCACTTCAAACCGCACACGCGCGCACCCGGAGTCGTCCCGCTTCGGTCCGGTGCAACTGTCCAAAGGAAAGGTACCCCTCCGCCACCGAAATCCGAAAGAAAAATAATCCACGTAAAGTTATAATTCGGGCGGGAAGAAAAATTATTTTTAAAAAAGCCCAACTGACAAAATGGCGACGAGAAGAGCCTGTTACTATAGCAACTGTCAATCACTCCACAAGAGTCCCGCCCATGCCAGGCGGGAATCCGTGCTGAAAAGAGAGGAGAGAAAGGCATGACCGAAGGCGGAGCTTGGTCGCCTTGGCGACTGCTGCTTCATTCTGTTCCCAATTCTGTGATATAAATTCCGAGACGGGTTTCTTTCCTGGTCATTAGCGCTCGATGGAAGAACGCGGTCGCTGGTTTCCGTCATCTAAGTGGATTTCTTTCGGAACGGACTGAACGAGCCTTTTCAATATTAATCTGGGAAGAATGCTCCAAGATTAGAACTGAACCTGTTCTCCACAAGAAATAGCTGCTATCTTTTTTCGTCTGCTTTCGCATTTGTTATGGATGTGGTTGGCGGGAAGCAATCAAAATAGCTTCAGGCACAAATATCCGTCGTTCGTGTAGATCAAGTCCGGAGCAGGAGATTGCAATCTTTTCTCTGATTACCACCTAAGTAAATCCAACATGCGGGATTGCGTCCCACTGCAACCTTTTCGCTGTTCGTGACGGTCGGAATCTGTTATACAAGCGCAAATGCATGATTGTCTGGCTCTGGGTGCTTAAGGTACTCCATACTTTTGCTGGAAACCAATATAATTTATGTTACAAACTTCAGGCTTGTTGCAACAGATCAACTGATGATGGTACAAAACTTGGAAATGTCTGGAAGATGCATCAGTAATTACAACTGGAATTCATTCATCATTGAACTTTTTATTTTTATGTGCAGTTAATTATATAGATACTTCACATCCTTCAAGCACACACCTTTTGTTAACAAAAGTTTTTAGCCACAGCCAGCATGGCCAATGTGGTGAGAGGTTTTGAAATCTAGTAGCATCTGGAGGACCCCACTTCTAATTTTTGCTCTAATTGGCTGTCTTAATTTATGGTATTTCTATATTGCTGGCTTCACAAAAAGTCCTTGCAGGTTACTAATAGAAAACCACAAAAACATGTTCCCAACAAAACAACTTTTGACAATTTTCCCAAAAAAGTTAGGGAGGACATCATTTGAATATTGAGGTAAGTTCTATAATACCAGAGGTGAGCTAGAAAAAATTGAACTTCAAACCCCACTCTTATCTCACCTGTTGGGGGGGTAAGAAGCTCAAAAATATCCTTTCAGAACAGGTGAGTTCTGTTTGAAATAGGCAACCCCATAGCCAAACAATAAAGTACTTATAGGTCAAAACTTCTCTATAGGAGGGGATGGTGCCCCAGCACTTTAAGGAGGCTGTGGTCCGCTCTTTTCTTAAACTATCACTGGGCTCCACCCAGTTGGATAATTTCCAACCTGTCTCCAATCTTCCATTTTGGGGGAAGGTTGTTGAGAAGGTGGTCACGCAGCAGCTCCAGAGGTTTCTGGATGAAACGGATTATCTTGACCCCTACCAGTCAGGATTTAGGCCTGGATTTGGGACAGAAACAGCATTGGTCACACTTTTGGATGATCTCAGATGAAAGGCCTTCTCCGTGGTAGCTCCCTCTCTGGAATATCATTCCCCCAGACATTAGAATGGCCCCCACTAGCCATTCTAGCACTCTTTCAGAAGGCATTGAAGACCTGGTTTTGCCAGCGGGCCTGGGGAACCCAGAGCGTGATGGAGACCATCAAATGGCTAGTGTGATCTGCTGTTGTCAGGGTGGGGGGTAGTTGGAGGGTGATTTTTTCCCCCAGATTATGTTCTATTGTACTTTATTAATTTTATGCTTTTTGTTAATTTTTATTGTTAATTTTTTTTTTATTTTAAATATGGTTTTACATTGTGTAAGCCTCCTCGAGTCGCTATGGGCGAATAGGTGGCAATATTTAATTAATTAATTTTGCACTCGTGCCTTAGGGATCATTCCATGGTTTGATTTCAGAAAAGTGCCCCACTCGACCATCATGGATTTCAATTAAATTTTGTGTAAACATGCACCCATGTCCCCAATGAACATTGGTAAAGTATTACATTTGCCGATAAAATACTTGCAGAGATATAGTCATTTGTTTGACCCCATACTGCAGCCTTCTACAATATGACTCTGAGGTTCCAGCAACTTTGAGACAATATCTCCAGCAATATTTTGTTGAGAGAAACAAAACCTGGCTATCTTGTGCAATTTGTTGTGCTCTATTAAACAAAATAATAAAAACAGTCTTATGAGCGATCTCCATCTAGATAATTTGGAGCAAAGTTGGCTGAAAATATTGTGGCTCGAAAAAAGGTTAAAGTTTGGCTTTTTATATCTCTGGAAGAAAAGGTATGATAAACGTGAAACTGCATTATAACTTAGCAACACAAGGTTTCCGAATGTAAAATTTCATTTTCCTACTGCTTCCAATAGTTTACAAATTGAGTGAAAAGTTGACATTTTTTGTAAAAATGCCAAAAATACGGTATTTTGAGCCCCCTTTTACAATAAAAGACCTTCTGAAAACTGTTAAATCTTTCTCATTACAAAGGGCATGTTTCAACCCCCCCTAAAAAAAGTAGGGTTGGTTTTTCATTGCTGACATAAAGCCCTAAAAATAGGGGAAAAGTTGAGGATGTTGCTATGACAACATTACATGCATTCTATTATTTTTTCGTCTTGTTTGTTTTACATAGACATCACTACTATTATAATGCGTTGGTGACATTGTTACTACCAGTTCAGGCACTTGAACCAGCAACCCCATCACCATAGGGGACATGCCCGATAGCTGTGCAATACCAGCCACGGGTGGGTTTCTTGGTTCAGGATCCTAAGCCTATAGTTTGGTTTCTTCCTCAAGGATCCAAAGCCTTGTGTGGGTATCTTGTCAGGTTTCCAAGCCTAAAGTGGGTATCTTATATGGTTCCCAAGCCGAAGTCTGTACACCCAAATACTGTAATACTATAGAGTTAATTACTGAATGTTGAAGTTCATACATGCCTTTTTAGGTGGAAATAATTTTGAATTCAATCTATTTCATATCTGGCTACTATTTTTTGTACATCTAATATTCCAATCCAAAGAATTTCATGCAACTAAAATATAAGAATGATGCCTTCATAGGGTTAGAATATGAGTGTCAACAATTTAATATGGATAACTGCACTGTCCATATTAAAACATTCTTAATAGAGAACTGAACACATGTAGCAAACAAGAGTTCATGCCTTCCCTAGGAAATTCGGTGCTACTTTGAAAAAGCTCTTTCTATTAGGAAAGGCTGTAAGGTCTTGGATGGTGAGGAATATTTAGTTCCAGGGCCAATACTACCAAAATGAAATGGTTATAGATATTTGAATGTTCTGGTTCTGAAAAATTTCCATATAACACACACACACACACACACACTTGGTGTGTGTATGTGTGTATACATACATATACTCACATATACACGTGTGTATGTGTATATGTCTGTGTATACACGCACATACATGTATAATTTATTGCATATGCCCCCATCTCATTCTGAAAAAAGACTGTTAATGGCTTACAATTACAGTTATAAATACAGAAATATTTAAAAGATTAAATACATAGACAAGAAGGAAAAAGAAGCTGTGGTGGTGCAGTGATTAGATTACCATATTGCAAACTAACTCTGCTACAGCCAGGAGTTCAATCCTGACCAGCTCAAGCTTAACTCAGCCTTCTATCTTTCTGAGGTCAGTAAAATGAGGATCCAGATTCTTGGGGGCAATCAGCTCAGAGAGAGCTATAAAGCTATGGAGTAGTATATAAGTCTATGTGCTATTGCTACTGTTAAAGGCAAGATCAGTAAAGCAGTAGTGTATTCTCAGTTAAACCACCAGCCACTTTCAACATTGAGCACTTCCATCAGGACCACAGGCCTTCTGAATAACAAATAGGTGGGGGCAGACATCATTAGAACTTCATGCTTAATTCCAGGAGCCATTTTGGAGATCCAATAAGAGAAGTTGCAGCGACCCAGCAGATTCATCAGCTTAAACAGGGTAATAGAACGGTCTGACTACATAGCGGAATTCAAATTAATCACAACAGAACTGGGCTGGAACGAGGCAGCTCCAATTGCTCAGTTTAGATGAGACCTGAATAACCAGATTGCTGCTGAGCTCATTAGGCAAGGAGTTCCACAGACTCTAGACCAAATTTAACAGCTTTGTATTATCATCAACTCATGTTTGGAATAGATTTTTTGCCAGTTTGATTGTCAGAGGCAACTAACATGAAGCCTTCCTATGCAGCTTTCTCCTACCTGATGCCGATTGACAGGAAGAAGTGATATGATTGACAAGTTTATGATACTTTAAGAGCCGTGGTGATGCAGTGGTTAGAATATAGTATTTCAGGCAGGCCAGTTCTGCCAGCAGTTCGATTCTGACTGGCTCACGATTGACTCAGCCTTCCATCCTTCCAAAGTCAGTAAAATGAGGACCCAGACTGTTGGGGGGCAACATGCTAACTCTGTAAACCAGTTAGGGGTGTAAAACACTATGAAGTGGTATGTAACTCTTAAGTGCTATTGCTATCACCTGGTTGACGTCCTGATATACTCTGAAAGTGACTCTCAGTATGACCACTATGTACAGGGTGAATAGACAGAGCAAAAACCATTTTTGGCTAAATTAGAACAATTGCTTTTGAGTTGAAACAGCTAGATTTCTTGAGTTATTGCAGTTCCACATAAGGAGTTCAAATGGATACCCAGAAAATGCAAATGGTGCTCCCCGCACAGCAAAGGACATTCAGAATTTCTTAGGCTTTGCCAATATTTACATAAAGTTTATCCCACATCCCACACTTCACACATAAGCCCCTAACACAGCTGTTGAAAAAAGCAGTTGTTTCACTAGATGCCCAGCAAATAGCATTTAAGGAGTTAAAACAACTTTTTGTGCCCCACCCCTCCTTCAACACCTCAACCCATCCAGACTGATGCCTCTGATATGGCTCTCAGGGCCATTTTCTTAACAGGGGTGTCAAACTGTTGGCCTGCGGGTCAGATGCATCATGTGGAGGCCATGCTTACTCAAGCTCCACAAAGGGGAAAAATATTGGGAAGTGTCATGACACTGCAAGTTTGTCAACCATGTCTTACTGGGAGGGGGGAACTGCATTTTTCTCAAGACCTTTGACTTAGCAATCAAATCAGCTTTTAAATAATTGAAGACATTTTTTGGAAGGAGTATGTTGATCTATAGATGCCAACATCAATCATAAAAATCTTAAAATGCTGCACCAGACCAAATCATTTTTGCCAGGCAAGTGAGATGGAGCCAGTTTTTCTCTCAAAAGCTTGAATTTTGTATCTAGTATGTCCCAGGCTCAAAACAATCTGATGCCAGATTTACTGTACCATAAACTGGAATACTTACTAGTGCACCAAGTTCTAATACCTGCAAGCATTTTACAGCCTCTAATTTCTGATGCGTGACAACTGTAGGGTTGGAGCAACACAACCACATGAAGATTTGCTCACCAGGATTAAGGAATAGCAATCACTAGACCAATTCTTGAGGGCTCAGATGGATGACCCACCAGATAATATATTATATTTGGTGGAGGGATGGGCATTGAAGTATAAGGGCAAAATAGTGATACTGCCACATTTGACAGAAGTTTTGCAGCATTGCCACAATAACCAGAGAGCAAGGCATGGGAGAGCGTTCAAAACATTGCACAAAACGTTAAAAGACTTTCAGTAGATTAAAATGTGAGCAGACATCAAGAGCTATGTAGCCTTTTGCAGCACTGCAGAAGGGCTAAGTTCCACCATCAGAAGCCAGCTGGACCAAATTACTGTTACAACCCTATGCCTCTCCATCCTTGGCATAAGTCTGCATTTTATTACTGATTTATTTGGTCCAGTCCACAGCTTCACATCCATACTAATCAAAGTAGATTTCCCCCCCCCCCCCCCCCCCACAAAAATGGCTTATTTCATCCCTTGAACATGATTGCCCACTGCCAAGGAAATAGTTCAGGCCTTTTTCGATCATGTCTTTCATCACAGAGTTATGGTATCAAATTGACAGAAGTCAATTTGCTTTCAGATTTTGGAGGGGACTGTTCCAATTTTTGAATTTCCAACTTGTCTTCAGCCTACCACTATGCTATGAATAGAAAGGCTTGCAATGATAGGTAAGACATTACTGCATCTATGGACAAGATAACTGGTCCTCATGACTGCCCTTGGCAGAATTTTCATACAATAACTCACCACACATCGATTTCTATCACCTCCCTCCTCTTTGAAGCTTTGTATGGTATGCATGCTAGAGAACTTGAAGGAGGATTCAATTCCATCAGCTGTGGAAATTTTTGCAAGAGCAGCTGACTGCCCAAATGCAGTTGAAACAACAGCTAAAACAGGCAAAGCAGTCATACTTGATCTTGATATTATCCTCTTACTAAGGAACCCAGATTTATAGTATAAAAGTGCCCTAGATTTCATGAAGAATTCAAGCAATGTAGTTCATTTAGGATATATATATTGCCTCTTAAAATATTAATATTCTGCCTTTTTATTTTTGAACTATGTTGGGTAGCTCAGAACAAAATGTTTACTTTGATCATTCTGCAAGAAAATATATTAACAAAGACTATAGTATATATAAATAAAATTTACAAATGGTCAAGGAGACATTGCAAAACTGGTTTATCAATGTT